ATTTTTAGTACAGACAGGTTTTTTTTGTTTTGTGTTGTTTTTTTTTAGACAGAGTCTCTTGCTTGTTGCCCAGGCTGGAGTGCAATGGCGCCATCTTGGCTCATTGCAATCTCGAGACTGGGTTTTGCCCTGTTGGCCAGGTTGGTCTGGAACTCCTGACCTCAGGTGATCTGCCCCCTTCAGACTCCCATAGTGCTGGGATTACAGGCGTGAGCCACCGTGCCTGGCCCTTCCTTCCTTTTTCTCACCTCTCTGGTGAGGACAGTGTTCCATCTGGGGCCCACTCCTCATGGCAGAGGCACATCAGGGCCACCAAGGCAAAAGGAGGCCCCAGAAATCTGTGGGCAGGGGGTCCCCCTGGAGGCTGGGGAGGCCCTGGGAGAGATGAACCAGGCTGGGCCTCACCTCCACACTCTGTCTTCAGAAGGTCAGTGGGGCACCTCTCCAGGGTGAGACAGCTGGATGAGGAATGGGTGGGGTAGGGGTTCATGGGCCCCTCTGAGCCCCTGAAAGCAGCCCCGGGGGATCTTTCGGGGCCTTCCCAGGAGTTCAGAAAGAGGCCCCTGCTGAGGGGCCGCAAGTCCTAGTTGTGACCTCACCCATCCTCAGCAGCAATGATACTTTGCCCTGTCCCCCTTCCTGGGACAGCTGTGTTCCTCCTGCCTGCTTCCTAGCCGCACCCCCTACCTTTGTTTACTGATCCCGGTTCCTCCAGCTCCTGCACAAACACTGGACTCATTTCCCCACTTCCCCTACATGAGGTGTGGCTAGAAGGGCAACAGCAGGAATGACACCTCTCAGTACTCAAAGTTTGGTCCCTGGACCAGCGCCATTATTACTGGGGAGCTTGTTAGAAATGTGGTTCTTGGGCCAGGCATGGTGGCTCACGCTTGTAATCCCAGCACTTTGGGAGGCTGAGGCAGGCAGATCACCTAAGGTCGGGAGTTTGAGACCAGCCTGACCAACGTGGAGAAACCCTATCTCTACTAAAAATACAAAATTAGCCGGGCCTGGTGGCGCGCACCTGTAATCCCAGCTACTCAAGAGGCTGAGGCATGAGAATTGCTTGAACCCAGGAGGCAGAGGTTGTGGTAAGCCAAGGTTGTGCCATTGCACTCCAGCCTGGGCAACTCCGTCTCAAAGATGAAAGGAAGGAAAGAAAGAAGGAAGGGAGGGAGGGAGGGAGGAAGGTTCTTGGCCAGGTGCAGTGGCTCATGCCTGTAATCCCAGCACTTTGGGAGGCCGAGGTAGGCAGATCATGAGGTCAGGAGTTTGAGACCAGCCTGGCCAATATGGTGAAATCCGGTGTCTACTAAAAATACAAACAGCTGTATATGGTGGTGGGCACCTGTAATCCCAGCTACTCGGGAGGCTGAGGCAGGAGAATATTTTGAACTCAGCAGGCAGAGGTTGCAGTGAGCCGAAATGGCGCCACTGCATTCCAACCTGGGTGATGAGAGCGAAACTCCATCTCGAAAAAATACAAATAAACAAACAAATAAATAAATAGAGACATACTCTACCTATGTTACCCAGGATGGTCTGGAACTCCTGAGCTCAAGTGATCTACCACCTTGGCCTCCCAAAGTGCTAGGATGACAGGTGTGAGTCACCACACCCAGCTAGAACACTTACAAGATCCCTGGAAAGTCCCTGCCAGGTCTGGCCTGCCATAGCCTCAGCTTCTCTCTTCACCATTCACCAACTGAGCGGAGGGGATACGTAGGGGAGGATGGAAGGAGCTGGATCCCTGAGTGACCTGGTGGAAGGTGCCTGCTAAACAGAAGTCTTGGCACAAATCTCTGAATGACTGAAAAACAAACATCTGTGGGTTAAGTTACCAAGACTGGGAGCTTGCTGTGTGCGGCACCTGGCCCAGTCCCTCCTCCCTTGCCCATCCCATTCTTTTCTTCTGTGTTGCCTTCCTTGGTTGTGGAAGCCTCACTCTAACTGCCTTCATCTTCACATGCCGTTCTTCCTGTTTGCAGCTGTGTCCAAATTCCACCCCTGCCCCTGTCACCTTTTATTTCTTTTATTATTATTATTATTATTGTTTTGAGATGGGGTCTTGCTCTGTCGCCCAGGCTGGAATGCAGTGGTGCGATCATGGCTCACTGCAGCCTCAGTCCCCTGGCCTCAAGAGATTCTTCCACCTCAGCCTCCCAAGTAGCCGGGACCACAGGGGTGTGCTGCCACATTCAGCTGTTTTTTTGTGTGTTTTGTGTGTGTGTGTGTGTGTGTGTGTGTGTGTGCGTTGTTTTTTTTTTGAGATGTAGAATCGCTCTATCGCCCAGGCTGGAATGCAGTGGCATGATCTTGGCTCACTGCAACCTTGCAACCTCCGCCTCCCAGGTTCAAACACTTCTCTGCCTCAGACTCCCGAGTAGCTGGGATTACAGGCATGTGCCACCACACCCAGCTAATTTTTGTATTTTTAGTAGAGACAGGGTTTCACCATCTTGACCAGGCTGGTCTTGAACTCCTGACCTCGTGATCCACCTGCCTTGGCCTCCCAAAGTGCTGGGATTACAGGTGTGAGCCACCGCACCTGGCCAGCTTATTTATTTATTTATTTATTTATTTTTGAGATGGAGTTTCACTCTTGTTGGCCAGTCTGGAGTGCAATGGCACGATCTCTGCTCACTGCAACCTCTATCTCTTGGGTTCAAGAGATTCTCCTGCCTCAGCCTCCCAAGTAGCTGGAATTACAGGCATCTACCACCACACCCAGCTACTGTTTTGTATTTTTAGTAGAGACGGGGTTTCACCATATTGGCCAGGCTGGTCTCGAATTCCTGACCTCAGTTTATCCACCCACCTCAGCCTCCCAGAGTGCTGGGATTACAGGTGTGAGCCACCGCACCCGGCCTTATTTTTTTATTTTATTTTATTTTATTTATTTACGCATTTTTGAGATGGAGTCTTGCACTATGGCCCGGGCTGGAGTGTAGTGGTGTCATCTGGGCTCACTGCAACCTCTACCTCTTGGGTTCAAGCGATTCTCCTGCCTCAGCCTCCAAAGTAGTTGGGATTACAGGCGTCCACCACCACACCCAGCTAATTTTATGTAGTTTTAGTAGAGATAGGGTTTCACTATGTTGAGCAGCCTGGTCTCAAACTCCTGATCTTGTGATCGACCCACCTCATCCTCCCAAAGTACTGGGATTACAGGCTTGAGCCACTGCACCCGGCCCCTATTTTTTAAATTTTAAATGGGGTTTCGCTATGTTGCCCAGGCTGATCTTGAACTCCTGGGCTCTAGTGACCCGCCCGCCTCAGCTTCCCAAAGCGCTGGGATTACAGGCGTGAGCCACCACACCCGGCCCGAACATGTAAATTTTATTTATTTATTTACTTATTTATATATTTTTGTGCTCTGCCACCCGGGCTGAAGTGCAATGGTGCCATCTCGGCTCACTGCAACCTCCGCCTCCCGGGTTCAAGTGAGTCTCCTGCCTCAGCCTCCCAAGTAGCTGGAATCACAGGCACCTGCCAACACATCTGGCTAGTTTTTGTATTTTTAGTAGAGTCAGGGTTTTGCCATGTTGTCCAGGCTGGTCTCAAACTCCCGACCTCAGGTCATCCACCTGCCTTGGCCTCCCAAAGTTCTGGGATACCCTTGAACACCCTATTGATGTCTAACTCCTCACTCGCACCCTCTGTCATCCTCACCAGCAACCAGTGTTTTCTCAAGTAATTAAACACTGAACTATCAGATAAGTGATTAGAGAGTCATTAAACTTTAAATCAGATTGTGTCGCTGGTCTGATAAGAATCCTCTGGAAACTGACCAGGCTCAGTGGCTCACGCCTGTAACTCCAGCACTTTGGGAGGCCGAGGTGGGCGGATCACTTGGGTTCAGGAGTTCGAGACCAGCCTGGACAAAATGGAGAAATCCCATCTCTACTAAAAATACGAAAATTAGCTGGATGTGGTGACATGCGCCTGCAGTCCCATCAACTTGGGAAGCTGAAGCAAAAGAATCGCTTGACCCTGGGAGGCGGAGGTTGCAGTGAGCCGAGATCGCGCCACTGCACTCCAGCCTGGGTGAGGAAGCAGCGAAGAAAAAAAAAAAAAGAACGCTCTGGAAGCTCTCAGAACACTTCAAGGTGCTGCCTGGACTGGCTCATGCCTCCCTCCCTGACCTCACCCCCACTACATCCCCCACACCCCAGCATGATCTCCTCCTGGTTCCCCAGGTCTGGTCCTTTCTGCCTTCTGGGCTGCTGTACTGCGGTTCCCTCGGCCTGATGTGCTTCTTGCCTGCATCTTCACTTGGTAAATTCGTGCCTCGGAGCTCAGAGCTGCCTCCTCTGATAAGCCGTCCTTGATCTCCACCCCTCCACCTCCAGCCTGCTGTCTGCCCCACCCGCCATTGCCTCCTGAGCTGCCTGGTTCCTCTGTGCCTCTCCTACCACCTGGGGAACAGGTGAGGGTGGGACACAGCAGGGGGCGAGATGCCCAAAGTCAGGCTTATTTTGGTGGGATGGGGTCACCTGCTGCCGGCTTGTCCTAGATGCTCTGGTCACCAGCATAGGCAGAGCCAGGAAGGGGCCCTGATTTGGAAACTCAGAGCTCAACTCAGCCCTTGAACTCCCGGGTGGATGTGGAGGGGTTTTCCCATGGGGATGCTGGATGACTGGCCCTCACCCCAGTGGCTTGGTCTGCAGGACCTGCCCTTCTCAGATAAGGACCCCAAGGCTGGCAGGGTCTGGGAGTGCCCAGGGCTGGCTGACTTCATTTGGGCCCCAGGCCAGCCGGCTCAGAATGGCTTCTGGGGAGCTCGTGGCCTCGGCCTCCAAAAAGTCTGCATGAGTTGCTGGAAGCTGCCCTGCCCTGGCTGGGCTGGGGCTCTGTCTGAACGCAGGAGTCTGTGTGTCTCTCTCTCTGTCTGAATAGGTCACTGTGTTCTTGTGCAGGGGCAGGGAGGGGTCCACACGGGCAGCTCCAGGGGCTGGGGGCGGGTGAGCCAAGCCCTTCCTGTTCTTTCCCGCTCAGGTTGAGGCTTCACTTTCCATCAAGAGAGGCCCCTTCCTGCACCCTGGGGAGGGAGGCTGTCCACAGGTAGGCCAGGCCTGGTCAGTGGTGCACGGCCTGAGTGGGGTGTGGGGGCACGGGACCCCTGGAAGGTGAGAGACCAAGAGCCTTAGCTGGTCTGGGGGCTGGTGTGGGGGCGAGCAGAGCCAGTTCGGCCCTTCCCAACAAGCGAGGATGACCATGACCTGGTTCCTGGAAGGGGTAACAAGGAGGTGAGCCACCTGCCCCCACCCCGCCCACTCCTTCCTCCACGGGCTCCTCCCTCAGTACCATGGAAGGTGGGGGGCTTCGCATTTCCCGGGGACCCTCATTGCCCTCAGAGTCCTGGCCACCCTCACCCTCCTGACTTTGACCTGCTGCTGCCTAAAAAGCGGTGCCCACCCCCCGGACTTTCAGTGGCTCCCCCTGCCCACCGGCTCCCCCTGCCCCAGGCCTGCAGGCCCGGTGAAGTTTCGCTGGCAGGGCTGGGGGTGCCCTATCCCCAGGAAGGCCTCAGCTGGTCTCCACCCAGTCTGAATGAGGGGTGACTGGAAGCCCCCTCAGCGGGGTCCAGTCCCTCCTAGCTGCCTACCCCGCCATCCCCTCCCTGAGGGCCTGAGGGGCACTAGAAGGGCCCTCAGCTTTGGATAGAAGGAGGAGCCCCAGCCCACACTGCTTCATAGAAGGGAGGAGTATTTGCCTCGAACATAAGTGCTCAGAACAACTGTTCTTGTAGCCTGAGTGACAGTGAATCCAGGAGGGGAGGGCGGTGTAGACACAGGTGGGGCTCCTGATCCGGCCCCACAGGTGTCAGGCGTGGAGGAGGGAGGGACTGGGCAGAAGCGGCCCGTCCCCAGCGTGGGGCTTGGGCTTCTTCCGGGAAACACCGAGGGAGGTAGCAGAGGCCGCTCCTCCCCGCTGGGCGGCACCCTCCCCTGCAGGGGTGGATGGGCACCCCAAAGGTGGGGGCTGGTGGGGGCCAGAGCAGGTGAGGAGAGGGCTGGTGGAGGCCGGAGCAGGTGAGCATCCAGCAGCTGGGGTCCCTGGGTCCTGGCATGCCATGCTGTCCTCAGGTCTCGCAGGGGGCATGGCTTGGTGTCCGGCCTGTCCCCCAGGGGGGCCTTCCCTCGACCCCTGCACCCCTAGCAGATCTGTGAGGTCCAGGCAGGCCTCTTCTCAGGACCCCAGTAAGGGCCACTCGGGCACCCCACACAGCCCACAAGGCTTCCTGCCTTAGACTGGGCAGTACCAGGGAGAGTGGGGCCCACAGGGACTTGTCTGGAACCACACGGCTGGCAGGGGCACAGCCCAGTGGGGTCCCTCCAAGCCAGGGCACTTCCACAGGCAGGCCCCCAACACCCCTTCCCTGTGTGGCGCTCATCCCAGGTCAGGGAGGGGATTGGTGGTTAGTGAGGGGTGGGCTGGGAGCTGTGGCCAGCGGGATTCTGAGGTGGCCCTGAGATTCCCCCTCGGGGTCTCTGTGCTCTGTGACCCCCTCCCTAGAGTATGGGCCACCTCTCCTGTGATCGGATTGTTCTGTGGCACCGGTGGAGGGCCTTTTTCCTGTTTTTCTTTTTGCCTCTCCTGTGGTGTTGCAGTGAAGGGGTTTCTGCAGGTGTAACCGGAGGTTCTAATCAGGTGACTTGGAGTTAATCAGAAGGGAGGTTGATCTGGCTAAGCCTGGCTAGCTCAGGTGCAGCCTTTAAGAGGCTAGAAACTGCAGAGCCGCCCCCTCCTGATGCCAAAGAAGCATATGACCATCGGCTCCACAGCTGCAAGAAAAAGATTCTGCACACAACGACAAGCGCTCAGGAGAGGACCTCAGGCCTCGGTTGAGATCCCAGCCCTAGCTGACACCTCGAGTGCAGCCTGTGAGACCCTGAGCAGAGGTTCAGCAGTCCCCTCCCCGGACTCCTGCCACACAGAAGCCATGAGGTAAGTGGGTATTGTTTCGAGATGATAAATTTCTAGTGATTTGTTCTGCAGCAATTGTGTGCTGGAGTGTGGAGGAGCTGGCAGGGTGGAGGGTGGTGAGGGGCGAGGCTCATTAGGCAGGGTGTGGACCCCCAAAGGCTGCAATGACAGGCTGCTCAGGCCCAACGCCCTCCTCATCAGGGGCCTGGTAGGCAGTGTGCACAAAGTGGCCCTGACTATGGTTAAGTGCCCCCAGCTGGACCTATTCCTCTGGGGCTTCAGAATGGGGACCGGGTGATTGGTCTCGTTCCTGGGCAGCTGGATGTCTTCTGTTGGCCACGCAGGTTGGGAAGCAGAGCAGGTGGCTGGAGGCAGGAGGAGGGCCAGTGGAACGGGTATCTGGAGGCAACCGTGGCTGGTGCTAGCAGCCTGAGGCCAGGGACTGTCGTCCCCTTGGGCTCTAGAGAACCCCCTTGGGTACGTCTGGCTTCTGGTCCTTGAACCAGGTAGTCACACCTGATGCGAAAAACAGGGCGAGTACACCTGAGGCAGGTGTTGTAGGCTTCAATTTGCATTTTTAGAGCCAGGAGCAGTGGCTCACACCTGTAATCCCACCACTTTGGGAGGCTGAGGCAGGTGGATCGATCTCCTGAGTTCGGGAGTTTGAAACCAGCCTGGAAAACACACAGAGACTCTGTCTCCACAAAAAAATTTAAAAATTAGGCCATGGTTCAAGCCTGTAATCCCAGCACTTTATGAAGCTGAGGCGGGCAGATCACCTGAGGTCAGGAGTTCGAGACTAGCCTGACCAACATGGTGAAACCCTGTCTCTATGAAAAAAAAAAATACAAAATTAGTCGGGGGTGGTGGCACATGCCTGTAATCCCATCTACTTGGGAGGCTGAGGCAGGAGAATCGCTTGAACCTGGGAGGCGGAGGTTGCAGTGAGCCGAGATCACACCACCACACTCCAGCCTGGGCAACAAGAGCGAAACTCTGTCTCAAAAAAAAAAAAAAAAAGTTAAAAAACTAGCTGGATGTGGTGGTGCACACCTGTGGTCCCAGCTCTTTGGTAAGCTGAGGTGGGAGGATCGCTTGAGCCCAGGAGTTGGAGGCTGCAGTGAGCCAAGGCCGCGTCACTGCACTCCAGCCTGGGTGACAGAGTGAGACTGTTTCAGAAAAGAGGCCAGGGAAAGTGTGCCTGGGCAGGTGCGTGTGCTGGGATGTGCACTGAGGAAGTGCCCTGTTCTCGCTGAGCGATGATGGGGCCAGGTTTTGCAGAGGAACAATGCAGGCAGGGAGACAGGCTTGGAGACTGCTGTGGTCACACCTGCCATCGGCTGGGCCCTGCATGAGTCAGGGACTGAGGGATGGGAATGTTTATGAATACAGGGACCCATGAAAGGGTCTCCTTTGCTGTCCTAGTGCCTTCCCCGGATTCTCTAGATCCTCTCAGCATTACACTCTAGAGGAAGGGGCTCATCAGCCCCTTAGCACACGAGGGAAGGAAACAGGCAGAGGGGCCGGGAGTGTGGCTCACACCTGTCATCCCAGCACTTTGGGAGGTTGAGGGGAGCTGATTGCTTGAGCCCAGAAGTTTAAGACTAGCCTGGCCAACATTTTGAAACCCTGCCTCTTCTAAAAGTACAAAAATTAGCTGGGTGTGGGAGTGCACACCTGTAATCCCAGTTATTCAGGAGGCTGAGGCAACAGAATTGGTTGAACCCAGGAGGTGGAGGTTGCAGTGAGCCAAGATCACACCACTGAACTCCAACCTGAGCAGCAGAGTGAGATTGTCTTAAGAAAAAAAAAAAAAAAAAAAAAAAAAAAAAAAAAAAACGGCAGAGGAGAGGGACTGCTAATGGGGAAGGGGCTGCTTTTCAGGGTAATGAAAATGTTCTGGAATGAGATAGTTGTGATAGATGCACAACCCTGTGAACTTATTAAAAGCCACTGATGGGCCGGCACTTTGGGAGGCCGAGGCGGATGTATCACGAGTTCCAGAGATCAAGACCTTCCTGGTCAACATGGAGAAACCCCGTCTCTACTAAAAATACAAAAATTAGCCGGGTGTGGTGGCAGGCGCCTGTGGTCCCAGCTACTCAGGAGGCTGAGGCAGGTGAATCGCTTGAACCAGGAAGGCGGAGGTTGCAGTGAGCCTAGATCACGCCATTGTACTGCAGCCTGGGTGAGAGCAAGACTCCATCTTAAAAAAAAAAAAAAAAGACAAAGCAGGCAGGTGGCAGCCCTTGACGACTGATGGGACGCAGGACAGGCAGGGCATCGAGGATAACTGTCACTCATCCGTGGTCTCCTCCCTCAGGCAAGAGGGCAGGGGACAGTCCCCTCTGCCGCCTGCATTGCTGGTGCTCACGGGAGATGCTGGGCAGGGCCCAGGAGGCAGCTGGACACGACACCCAGGTCTCATTTGCAGAAGGGAGGGCTGACTGACAAACCGTGAACCCCAAACGTGGCAGAGCAGAAGCGGGCTGAGGTCCAGCTCCCAAATCACCAACCCCCACTCCAAGGTTGGGCTCACGAAGGGGACTGGGAGGGGAAGCCAGAGGAGCTGGCATTGGAGGGGACCTGGGAGGGCAGTAAGTGCCTGCGGCCAGCTCAGAGACACACCTGCTGGCCTTAGTGGCAGGGGTCCTGTGCCACTCTGACTTGGCAGAGGAGGTGGGACAGGAGGCTAGGCTGGGACCACGGGGGGATGGGGCCCACCTGACGACTGTGGGTCAGGGACCGGGGGTTCAGGGGCTCCCAGAGCTGGCCACTGCCCCTACCCCCATTTTCAAACTTAGAGTTCTTTGTTGATACCATTCTGATGCCTTGGGAATTTATTTTAAATTTCATGAGGCGTTGTTGGCACTGTCACGTCAAAGGGCACCGACACACACCACGTGGTGCAGATGGCACACAGCAGGGTTTGTGGGCGAAGCACCAGCAGAGCCAGGGCTGGAAGCAGGAGCTGCCCCGCTGAGCCGCTGCTGGGCTGCACACTCTGCAGCCAGCGTTCACCCGCACGCTTTAACTCTGTGACAGTGACTGGGCAGGGGACATCTGGTGGCTCTGGCACTTTCCAAAGGAAGGCTCTGAAGCTCACTTAGTGGCTGTCAGGTCCTTGTCATGGCTGAGTGGCCACCAGGGTGCAGGTTGGTGGCTGTGAACCTGCCCAAGGCAACAGCATCATCCAAATTCACGTACGTTGGAGTCTCAGCCCAGCAACGTAGGCTGCCATCTCTCCTCTGAGGTCAAAGCAGACGCGAGGCAGAGGAAGAGTGGGCCAGCCCCGGTCAATGACGCAAATGTCCAAAAGAGAAGAGAAGCTGATATCCTTCCTCTGACTCGTCTCACACTCGCTTAGGGATGCCTAGAGCCCAGCCAAGTGACAGGGCATGGCATGATGTGACCATGGCAGGAAGATGCTGGCCATGGAGGCCCCATCACAGAGGCAACCAGCCCACAGGTGCAGAGGCTGCAGTGACTCAGGCTGCTGTGACCCGGGCGTTTCTCTCGTATCTTGGGCACGTGTGGAGCTTCCCCCTCTGCAGGGAGCCTGACCAGAGGTCCAGCTGGTGGCGGCATGAGCTGGACCGTCTTTCAGCAGATGCCTTCCTCGGGCATGGCTGCCTCCTGTGGGCGTGCACATTTGCACCACACAGTGAGAGTCGGGATTGGAGTACTGGATCTGTAGCCTTGGCCCCGAGTCCAGCTGGGGGCAGTTCGGTCCGCCTCAGGGCAGGATGCTTCAGGGCCGCGAACACCGCCCGAAGTGCAGCCACTGTGTCCCATGTCCTCTGCCATCGGCAAAGGATGGACAGGTGGGCAAGTCTGCCCTTGGCCCAAGGGTGCCACTTGCCCAGGCTTATGCAAATGACTCCGGGGGAACTCAGGCTAATGGCCAGAGCAGAGCATCCCGCCTCTTTCAGCAACATGACCTGCCACATCGGGCCTGGGAGAGACCACGGGCTGCAGCTGGCCCCTCAGCAGTCCCTCCAGAGGCCCCAACTCCAGGTGTCCCCATCCACTGTTGGTCCAGGTTATATCTGGGCCAGGTGACCATAACTACCCAGGCATGGTGGGGCAGTCACCTGCTGGGCACTGGCATGGAGACATGATGGGGTGTGACTTCACGGTGGCCAACTGTTGCTGCAAGGGGGATGTGAACAAGCACCAGCTCTACACGGTGAGATGGAAAATAGGATTTATTGGGGGAACCGTACAAGCAGAGGAGAAGCGGGGGTGCCCGGGCTGTCACAGCCTTGCAATGGATGGTGGGCTCCGTGGCCAACCTGCCAGGGGACAGACCTATTGCTGGCACTCCCCCCACAATTACAGGGTGGGAGTGAGGGACCTCGCGGCTGAGGACGGGTCCTTGTTAGTAAGCAGGAGGCTCTGCAGTCCCGGTGGGGTCATCTTGCTTCTCCGGACTGCTCCCTCTGACTGCTGAAGCCGCGCTGTGCAGCTTCCTGACAGAAGGGGAGGCGCCTCTGCTGCCCAGGCATTCACGTTGCTGAGCAGAGCGCGGCCTCGCCAGGTGGAAAGCCCTAGGAAGGCTGCTTGCTCTGCAAACCCAGGGGTGCTGTGGCCGGAGAGCAGGGGCGTCCGTGTCCAAGCAACTGTGTCACCACCTTCAAAGGTCAGGAAGGTGCCACCGCCTTGCCCCACGACACCCGAGTCTGCAAGCGCCAGCTCTGAACACTGTTCTCCGCCGACACAAGGACACCATCCAAGAATTCCTCCCAGGGGACACCCTGAGAAGATGCGAAGACCATCGATGCTTTGGAAGAATGAAAAGAAGTTTCTGCCAAGCAAACCGAAGTGTCTGGGAAGCACCCGTATGGATGGGAAGCCACCTCAGGTGGGCGGCTCAGAGCTCCTCTGCCAGTATCAGCTCACTGGGACTCGCCGTCCAGTCTGACGTCTTTGATGTCCCTAATTACAAAGAGACACATGTTCTTTACACACATCAAAACATGGTGGAAATAGATAACACAGAAAGTTCAGGATTCCTGGAATCCTTTTTCCTGGGGATATCACAGGCTAGATCACTTATTTATGAGATAGAGTCTTGCTCTGTCCCCCAGGCTGGAGTGCAGTGGTGTGATCGTCGCTCACTGCAGCCTCGGCCTCCCAGGTTCAAGCAATTGTCCCACCTCAGCCTCCCTAGTAGCTGGGATTACAGGCACCTACCACCAAGCCCAGCTAATTGTTTGTATTTTTAGTAGAGATGGGATCTTGCCATGTTGGCCAGGCTGGTCTCGAACTCCTGACCTCAAGTGATCCACCCACCCTGGCCTCCCAAAGTGCTGGCACTACAGGCGTCAGCCACCATGCCCGGCCAGCTAGATAATTTTTTTTTTTAAGGTGGAGTCTCACTCTGTTGTCAGGCTGGAGTGCAGTGGCGTGATCTCGGCTCACTGCAACCTCTGCCTCCCGGGTTCATGTGATTCTCCTGCCTCAGCCTCCTGAGTAGCTGGGATTACCGGCGCATGCCACCATGCCCGGCTACTTTTTTTTTTTTTTGTATTTTATTAGAGACGGGGTTTCACCATGTTGGTCAGGATGGTCTCGATCTCCTGATGTCAGGTGATCCGCCCATCTACCAAAGGGCTGGGATTACAGGCATGAGCTACCTCACCTGGCTGATCATTTTTACACACACATCCATCCATCCGTATCTATACCTTTACAACATGAGGTTGTTCCATGACACACACTTGGGGAATTCCCTGCTTCCTACACCAGTATGTTCGGGGGAGAACCACCCAACACTTCCAAAACGTTGCAATTCCTGCCCTGGAAGTCACAAGGGCATCACTCCGAGCCTCCTCAAGGTTCTTCATCAAGAAACACAGAGTTCTCCTTTAATAATTTTCTTTTTTGAGATATGGTTTCACTCTGCCACCCAGGCTGGAGTGCAGTGGTGCCATCACAGCTCACTGCAGCCTCGACCTCCTGGGCTCAAGTGATCCTCCCACCTCAGCCTCCTAAGTAGCTGGGACCACAGGTACATGCCACCACGTCTGGCTAATTAAACAAAATTTTTTTTTGGTGGAGATGGGGTTCTCCCTGTGTTGCTCAAGCTAGTCTTGAACTCCTGAACTCATGTGATCAGGTTCTCTTTTAGTACTGTAAGGGATTTTTTTTTTTTTTTTGAGACGGAGTTTCGCTCTTGTTGCCCCAAGCTGGAGTGCAGTGGCGCAATCTCTGCTCACTGCAACTTCCGCCTCCCAGGTTCAAGCGATTCTCCTGCCTCAGCTTCACGAGTAGCTAGGATTACAGGCACCCACCACCACACCCGGGTAATTTTTTGTATTTTTAGTAGAGATGGGTTTTCACCATGTTAGCCAGGCTGGTCTCAAACTCCTGACCTCAGATGATCTGACTGCCTCAGCCTCCCAAAGTGCTGCGATTACAGGCGTGAGCCACTGTACCTGGCTGGGATTTTTGTTTTTTATACTTCATGTTCTAGGGTACATGTGCATAATGTGCAGGTTTGTTACATATGTATACATGTGCCATGTTGATGTGCTGCACCCATTAACTTGTCATTTACATGAGGTATATCTCCTAATACTATCCCTCCCCATCCCCCCACGGATATTTGTTTAAGAGCTTTACTGAGCTATAATTCACATACCATAAAATCCGTTAAGTGTACAATTCAGAGTCGTGCAACCATCACTGCAATCACATTTAGAACATTTCACCCCCCATCAAAAGAAACCTCAAATCCTTAGTGTCCCTCCTCAACTTCCCTTGCCCCAGGCAGCCACTAATCTTTCTGTCTCTCTAAATGTGCCTATTCTGGGCACTTCATATGAACAGAATTACATATACTCCATGTGCTTTGTGACTGGCTTCTTTCATTGAAGATGGTGTTTTCTTTTTTTTTTTTGAGACGGAGTCTTGCTAGAGTGCAGTGGCCGGATCTCAGCTCGCTGCAAGCTCCGCCTCCTGGGTTTACACCATTCTCCTGCCTCAGCCTCCCGAGTAGCTGAGACTACAGGCGCCCGCCACCTCGCCCGGCTAATTGTTTTGTTTTTTTTTATTAGAGACGGGGTTTCACGGTGTTAGCCAGGATGGTCTCGATCTCCTGACCTCGTGATCCGCCCGTCTCGGCCTCCCAAAGTGCTGGGATTACAGGCTTGAGCCACCGCGCCCGGCCCTTAAAGATGGTGTTTTCAAGGTGCATCCTCATTGTAGCATGCATCAGTACTTCGTTCCGTTTTATGGACAATATTTCATTGTATAAATCGACTGTATTTCATTGACGGACATTTTTGAGCTTTCAATTTTTGCCTATTAGAAGTAATGCTGACGGCCGGGCGCGGTGGCTCAAGCCTGTAATCCCAGCACTTTGGGAGGCCGAGACGGGCGGATCACGAGGTCAGGAGATCGAGACCATCCTGGCTAACACAGTGAAACCCTCTCTCTACTAAAAAATACAAAAAACTAGCCGGGCGAGGTGGCGGGCGCCTGTAGTCCCAGCTACTCAGGAGGCTGAGGCAGGAGAATGGCGTAGACCCGGGAGGCGGAGCTTGCAGTGAGCTGAGATCCGGCCACTGCACTCCAGCCTGGGCAACAGAGCGAGACTCCGTCTCAAAAAAAAAAAAAAAAAAAAAAAAAAAAAAGAAGTAATGCTGACATGGACATTTGTGTATATTTTTGTGTGGACATGTGTGTTCAGTTCTCCTGGGCGCACACCTAGGAGTGGAACTGCTGGGTCATACGGTGACTCTACGTTGAACATTATGAACTCCCAGAGTGTTTTCCAAAGTGGCTGCACCATTTTGCATCGTCAGCAAGAGAGTATGAGGGTTCCAGTTTCTCCACGTCCTCACCAACACTTGTTGGCTGTCTTTTTAAATAGCCATCGCAGTGGGTGTGAAGTGGTATTTCACAGTGGTCTTTTTTTTTTTTTTTTTTGAGACGGAGTCTTGCTCTGTCACCCAGGCTGGAGTGCAATGGCCGGATCTCAGCTCACTGCAAGCTCCACCTCCCGGGTTTACACCGTTCTCCTGCCTCAGCCTCCCGAGTAGCTGGGACTACAGGCGCCCGCCACCTCGCCCGGCTAGTTTTTTTGTATTTTTTAGTAGAGACAGGGTTTCACTGTGTTAGCCGGGATCGTCTCTCGATCTCCTGGCCTCGTGATCCGCCCGTCTCGGCCTCCCAAAGTGCTGGGATTACAGGCTTGAGCCACCGCGCCCGGCCTCACAGTGGTCTTGATGTGCATTTCCCTGAGACTGATGATGTTGAGAATCTTTATCCCTATTGACAATTTGCATATCTTTGAATTCATCGCAGAAATCAAATCTTCTATGGGAAACTGTTTATTCAGGTCCTTTGGCCATTTGCTAATTGGGTTGTCTTTTCATTGTATGAATTCTGGGCCAGGCACAGTGGCTCACTCCTATAATCCCAACACTTTGGGAGGCCGAGGTGGGTGGATCACCTGAGGTCAGGAGTTCGAGACCAGCCTCACCAACATGGTGAAACCCCATCTCTACTAAAAACACAAAAAATTAGCCAGGTGTGGTGGCAGGTGCCTGTAATCCCAGCTACTCGGGAGGCTGAATATGTTCTGGATACAAGTTCCTTATCAGGTATATGATTTGCAAATAATTCTGTGGGTTGTCTTTTCATCTTTTTACTTTCTTTTTTTTCTTTTGAGACAGAGTCTTGCTCTACTGTCCAGGCTGGAGTACAGTGGTGCAATCTCGGCTCACCTCAACCTCTGCCTCCTGGGTTCAAGAAATTCTGCCTCAGCCTCTCGAGTAGCTGGGATTACAGGCGCCCGCCACCACACCCAGCTAATTTTTGTATTTTTAGCAGAGTCAGAGTTTCACTGTGTTGGTCAGGCTGGTCTTGAACTCCTGACCTCAGGTGATCCACCTGCCTCGGCCTCCCAAAGTGCTGGGATTACAGGCATGAGCCACCATGGCCAGCCTGTTTACTTTCTTGATAGTGTTATTTGAAGCATAAAAGTTTTTAACTTCGATAAAGTCCAATTTATTCTTTGATTGCATATGCTTTTGGCATCCTATCTAAAAACTTTTGTCTTGTCCAGTATAGCGGCTCACACCTGTAATCCCAGCACTCTGGGAAGCCAAGGTGGGTGGTTCACCTGAGGTAAGGAATTCGAGACCAGCCTGGCCAACATGGTGAAACTCTGTCTCCACTAAAAGTACAAAACAATTAGCCGGGAGTGGTGGTGCGTGCCTGTAATCCCAGCTACTCAGGAGGCTGAGGCAGAAGAATTGCTTGAATCTAGGATGTGGAGGTTGTGGTGAGCTGAGATCATACCACTGTACTCCAGCCTGGGTGTCAGAGCAAGACTGTCTCAAAAAAAGAAAGCTGACTGGGCGCGGTGGCTCCCGCGTGTAATCCTAGCATTTTGGGAGGCTGAGGTGGCTGGATCACTTGAGGCCAGGAGTTCAAGACCAGCCTGGCCAATATAGTCAAACCCCATTTCTACTAAAAATACAAAAATTAGCCAGGTGCACTGCAGTGTGCCAGTAATCCCAGCTACAGCTACTCTGGACGCTGAGGCAGGAGAATCACTTGAACCTGGGAGGCGGAGGTTGCAGTGAGCCGAGATTGCACCACTGCACTCCAGCCTGGAGATAGAGCAAGACTCCACCTCAAAAAAAAAAAAAAAAAAAAAAACGGTACGGTCCACTTATACAGGACATGTATTACAAATGGAGCTTGCGGGGGGGAAGTTGCTATGGGTGAGTGAATGTGGAGGCCTAAAGCATTACTGTGTATGCTGCAGACTTAATGTACAACACTCAACACTCAGGCTACGCTCATTTTTTTTTTTTTTAATATTTTTGTGTTTATTTATTTTTTGAGACAGAGTCTCGCTCTGTCGCCCATTCTGGAGTGCAGTGGCGCAATCTCGGCTCACTGCAAGCTCCGCCTCCGGGGTTCATGCCATTCTCCTGCCTCAGACTCCCAAGTAGCTGGGACTACAGGCACCCGCCACCTCGCCCGGCTAATTTTTAAAATATTTTTTAGTAGAGATGGGGTTTCACCGTGTTAACTAGGATGGTCTTTTTTTTTTTTTTTTTTTTTTTGAGACGGAGTCTCACTGTGTCTCCCAGGCTGGAGTGCAGTGGCGTGATCTCGGCTCACTGCAAGCTCTGCCTCCCGGGTTCACGCCATTCTCCCGCCTCAGCCTCCCAAGTAGCTGAGACTACAGGTGCCCGCCACCACGCCCGGCTAGTTTTTCTGTATTTTTAGTAGAGACGGGGTTTCACCATGTTAGCCAGGATAGTCTCGATCTCCTGACCTCGTGATCCACCCGCCTCGGCCTCCCAAAGTGCTGGGATTACAGGCTTGAGCCACCGCGCCCGGCCAACCAGGATGGTCTTGATCTGCTGACCTCGTGATCTGCCCATCTCGGCCTCCCAAAGTGCTGGGATTACGGGCTTCAGCCACCACGCCCGGCCTGCTATGCTCATTTTTAAAAATTTTCTTTGGTAATAAATGAACCTAAGCTTACTGTAACTTGATGTAACTTTTAGCTTCTTTTGTAATAACGCTTGGTTTAAAATACAAATACATGGTACAGCAGCACAAAAATATTTTCTTTAGAACCTCATTGTATAAGTTTTTATTTTTCAGGAATTTAAAATTTTTTTTAAGTTGGACTTCAATTTTTTGAGACAGGTTTTTTTTTTTTTTTTTTTTTTTTTTTGAGACGGAGTCTTGCTCTGTGCCCCAGGCTGGAGTGCAGTGGTGCGATCTCGGCTCACTGCAAGCTCCGCCTCCCGGGTTCCCGCCATTCTCCTGCCTCAGCCTCCCAAGTAGCTGGGACTACAGGCACCCGCCACCTCGCCCAGCTAATTTTTTGTATTTTTTAGTAGAGACGGGGTTTCACCTTGTTAGCCAGGATGGTCTCGATCTCCTGACCTCGTGATCCGCCCGTCTCAGCCTCCCAAAGTGCTGGGATTACAGGCTTGAGCCACTGCGCCCGGCCGGTTTTTTTTTTTTTTTTGAGATGGAGTCTCGCTCTGTCGCCCAGGCTGGAGGGCAGTGGTGCGATCTGGGATCACTGCAAGCTCCGCCTCCCGGGTTCACGCCATTCTCCTGCCTCAGCCTCCCGAGTAGACTACAGGCACCCGCCACCTCACCCGGCTAGTTTGTGTTTTTTTTTTTTTTTTTTAGGAGAGACGGGGTTTCACCGTGTTAGCCAGGATGGTCTCGATCTCTTGACCTCGTGATCCGCCCGTCTCGGCCTCCCAAAGTGCTGGGATTACAGGCTTGAGCCACCGCGCCCGGCCCAGTTTTTTTTTTTTTTTTTGAGATGGATTCTTCCAGGCTGAAGTGCAGTGGCACTATCTCAGTGCACTGCAGCCTCAGCCTCCCAAGTAGCTGGGATTACAGGTGTGTGCTACCATGCCCGGCTTTTTTTTGTTTTGTTTTTTGTTTTTTTTGGAGATGGAGTCTCGCTCTCACCAGGCTGGAGTTCAGTGGCGTGAATGTCAGCTCAGTGCAACCTCCGACTCTCTGGTTCAAGTGATTCTCCTGCCTCAGCCTCCCAAGTAGCTGGGATTACAGGCACGCACCACCATGCCCAGCTGATTTTTATATTTTTAGTAGAGATGGGATTTCACCATGTTGGCCAGGCTGGTCTCGAACTCTTGACCTTGTGATCTGCCTGCCTTGGCCTCCCAAAGTGCTGGGATTACAGGTGTGAGCCACTGTGCCTGGCTAATTTTTGTATTTTTAGTAGTAGAGATGGAGTTTCATCATGTTGGCCAGGCTGATCTTGAGTTCCTGACCTCAAGTGATCCACCCACCTCAGCCTCCCAAAGTGCTGGGATTACAGGTATGAGCCACTGCGCCCAGCCAAGGATTTTTATTTTTTTTGTTTAAAAACTAAGACACAACGCTAGCCTAGGCTTGCACAGGGTCAGGGTCATCCATGTCACCATCTTCCACCTCCACATCTTGTCCCACTGGAAGGTCTTCAGGGGCAGTAACACTTACAGCTGTCATCTATGACGACAGTGCCTTTTCCGGATACCTCCAAAAAGTCCTGAAGGACCTGCCTGAGGCTGTTTTACAGTTAACTTTTTTTTTTTTTTTTTTTTTTGAGACAGAGTGTCACTCTGTTGCCCAGGCTGGAGTGCAGTGGCACAATCTCAGCTCACTGCAACCTCCACCTCCCAGGTTCAAGCGATTCTCATGCCTCAGACTCCCAAGTAGCTGGGATTACAGGTGCCTGCCACCATGCCTGGCTAATTTTTCTATTTTTAGTAGAGACGGGTTTCACCATGTTTCCCAAGCTGGTCTCGAACTCCTGCCCTCAGGTGATCTGCCTGCCTCAGCCTCCCAAAGTGCTGGGATTACAGGTGTGAGCCAACGCTGTGGCTGACCTATAGTTGACTTTTTAAATAGGAGTATATTCTAAAGTAATGATAAAAAGTATACTAAATATATAATCTAGTAACATAGTCATTTATTATCATTATCAAATATTATGTACTATACATAATTGTATGTGATCTCTCTTTTGAGACGGAGTTTTGCTCTTGTTGCCCAGGCTGGAGTGCAATGGCACAATCTCAGCTCACTGCAACCTCCACATGCCAGGTTTAAGTGATTCTCCTGACTCAGCCTCCCAAGTAGCTGGGATTACAGGTGCATGCCACCACGCCTAGCTATTGTATTTTTAGTAGAGACCGGTTTCTCCATGTTCCCAGGCTGGTCTCGAATTCCTGACCTCAGGTGATCCACCTGCCTCAGCCTCCCAAAGTGCTCACGCCTGTGATCCGCCATGCTCTACTTTTATTTTTGAGACAGGTTCTCTCTCTGTCCCCAAGGCTGGAGTGTAGCTGCATGATCACAGCTCACTGCAGCCTCAACCTCCCAGGCTCAAGTGACCCTTCTATCTCAGCCTTCCAAGTGGCTGGGCATGCAACACCACACATAGCTAATTTTTAAATGTTTTGTAGAACCGGCATCTCACTATGTTGCTCAGGCTAGTCTTTTTGTTTGTTTTTTCTTTTTTTTCAGCGGTGGGGGGGGTGGGGCTTGCTCCCAGGCTGGAGTGCAGTGTCGTGATCTTGGCTCACTGCAACCTCCGCCTCCCGGGTTCAAGGGATGCTCCTGCCTCAGCCTCCCGAGTAGCTGGGACTACAGGTGCCTGCCATCACGTCTGGCTAATTTTTTGTATTTTTAGTAGAGACAGAGTTTCACTCTGTTGGCCAGGCTGGTCTCGAACGCCTGACCTCAGGTGATCTGCCCGCCTTGGCCTCCCAAAGTGCTGGGATTACAGGTGTGAGCCCCCGCGCCTGGCCTGCTTTTGGGGTTTTTACAGATGCTCTTGATCAGGTTGAAGAAGCTCCTTTTATTCCTAGTTTGTTGAATGTTTTTATCATGAAAGGGTGCTGGACGTTGTCACATGGTTTTTGTCCTTTTCTCTACTGATCTGGTGTGCAGGCATCCCCGCCACACACTAGTCTTGGTGACTGCGCTCGAAGGACTCACAGGACTTGGTCTACCGTCATGCTCATGGCTGAGATTTACTACAGTGAAAAGATGCGACGTGGAATTAGCAACAGGAAAATGCACTTGGGGTGAGGGCCGGAGGAAACCAGGTACAAGCCCCCCAAGTCCTCTCCCCCGGAGCCCCCTCCCCTGGGGTCCTCTCTCCCAGATTTCCGCAGAATGTGCTGAATCCTCCAGCCTCGAGCTGTGACATGTGCGAAGTGTTCTGTACCAGGGAAGCCTGCCTGAGCCTAGGAGGCCAGGGTTTTTCTGGGGGTTGGTCATGTAGGTACGTTGTGCCTGGGTGAATATGGCACCGATATTCCAGGCTCAGAAGAAAAGTGTTCAGCAAATATCACATGATTTGTACAGAAAAGAGTGAGCAATTGTTATTTGGGGATAGCATTGTATTCACGCAGGAACTCTACTGGTCAAGTTCCCAGATGCCAGCTGGGCATGGTGGCTCACGCCTATAATCCCAGCACTTCAGGAGTTTGAGGCAGAGAGATCACGTGACGTTAGGAGTTCGTGACCAGCCTGGCCAACATGGCGAAACCCCGTCTCCACTAAAAATACAAAAATTAGCTGGGTGTGGTAGTGTGCACCTGTAATCCCAGCTACTCGGGAGGCTGATCACTCACTGTGATCTTGCAGTGAGTGGAGATCACACCATGCACTCCAGCCTGGGTGACAGAGCAAGACTCCATCTCAAAAAAAACAAAAAAAAGTTCCGCCGGGCGCGGTGGCTCAAGCCTGTAATCCCAGCACTTTGGGAGGCCGAGACGGGCGGATCACGAGGTCAGGAGATCGAGACCATCCTGGCTAAGACGGTGAAACCCCATCTCTACTAAAAAATACAAAAAACTAGCCAGGCGAGGTGGCGGGCACCTGTAGTCCCAGCTACTCGGGAGGCTGAGGCAGGAGAATGGCGTAAACCCGGGAGGCGGAGCTTGCAGTGAGCTGAGATCCGGCCACTGCACTCCAGCCTGGGCGGCAGAGCGAGACTCCGTCTCAAAAAAAAAAAAAAAAAAAGTTCCCAGATGCCAGCCCAGGGTGAACCTTGCACACAGGCTGTTCTTAGGGCAGCAGTCTCGGGCCTGCCGTGTTAAGGCTGATCTGTACAGATACTGTGTTACATTAATTGGTTTTTCATGTTAATGCATTCCTGGGAGAAATCTTTTTTTTTTTTTTTTTTTTTTTTTTTTTTGAGACGGAGTCTTGCTCTGTCACCCAGGCTGGAGTGCAGTGGCCGGATCTCAGCTCACTGCAAGCTCCGCCTCCCGGGTTCACGCCATTCTCCTGCCTCAGCCTCCCGAGTAGCTGGGACTACAGGAGCCCGCTACCTCGCCCGGCTATTTTTTTTTTGTATTTTTTTAGTAGAAACGGGGTTTCACCATGTTAGCCGGGATCGTCTCTCGATCTCCTGACCTCGTGATCTGCCCATCTCGGCCTCCCAAAGTGCTGGGATTACAGGCTTGAGCCACCGCGCCCGGTCCCTGGGAGAAATCTTACTGAGTCATGGTATATAATTCTTTTTTATGTTGCTGGATTCTGTTTGCTGGTATTCTATGTTCTGGAGAAATACTGGGCTGTGGTTTTCTCTTTGTGTTTCTCTGCTTGGTTTTGGTATCAGGGTGATATTGGTCTTACAGAATGAGCTGGGGCCAGGCATTGTGGCTCATGTTTGTAATTCCAGCACTTTGGGAGGCCAAGGCAGGTGGATTGATTGAGCCCAGGAGTTGGAGACCAGCCTGCACAACATGGCAAAACCCCGTTTCTACTAAAAATAGAAAAATTAGCCAGGTGTGGTGGTGCGTATGTGTAGTCCCAGCTACTCAGGAGGGTGAGGTTGCAGTGAGCTGAGATGGTGCTACTGCACTCCAGCCTGGGTGTCAGAGTGAGACTGTCAGAATGAGGTCCATAGTAAGGTCTCATCTTTATTCCCGATTTTAGTATTTTCAGTATTCTTGCTCTTCAATTTTTTTGATCTTTAGGTAGAGCTAAATATTTGTCAATTTTATTGATCCTTATACAGAACCAACTTTAGGTTTTATTTACTATTTATTTCCTTCCTTCTACTTTAGTTCTTTTATTTTATTTATTTATTTTTTTGGGACGAGTCTTGCTCTGTTGCCCAGGCTGGCGTGCAGTGTTGCAATCTCGGCTCACTGCAGCCTCCACCTCCTGGGTTCAAGCTATTCTCCTGCTACAGGCACCCGCCACCAAGCCTGGCTAATTTTTGTATTTTTAGTAGAGGTGGGGTTTCACCATGTTGGTCAGGCTGTTCTCGAACTCCTGGCCTCATGATCCACCTGCCTAGGCCTCCCAAAATGCTGGGATTACAGGTGTGAGCCACCACACCTGTCTTTTAGTTCTTTTTTATGTTTTTTGTGGAGATGAGGTCTTGCCCATGCTAGTATGGAACTCCTGGGTTCAAGCGATTCTCCCACCCTAGCCACCCAAAATGCTAGGATTACAGGTGTGGGCCACTGTGCTTGGCCCTGTTTATTCATTTAGAGACGGGATCTTGCTCTGTCTCTCAGGCTGGAGTGCAGTGGTACGATCACACTTCACTGCAGCCTCGACCTCCCAGGTTCAAGCGATCCTCCCAGCAACGCTACCACGTATGGCTGATTTTTTGGTAGAGACAAAGTCTCACCATGTTGCCCAGGCTTCTTTTTTTTTTTTTTTGAGACGGAGTCTAGCTCTGTCACCCAGGCTGGAGTGCAGTGGTGCGATCTCAGCTGGCTCACTGCAAGCTCCACCTCCTGGGTTCACGCCATTCTCCTGCCTCAGCCTCCGGAGTAGCTGGGACTATAGGCACCTGCCACCACGCCTGGCTAATTTTTTTTTCTTTTTGTATTTTTTAGTGGAGACGAGGTTTCACCGTGTTAGCCAGGATGGTCTCGATCTCCTGACCTCATGATCCGCCCGCCTTGGCCTCCCAAAGTGCTGGGATTACAGGGGTGAGCCACCGCGCCCGGCCGGCTTCTTCCTTTCACTATAGATTTCCCTCTAAGCATGACTTTCAGTGCATCCCATAAGTTTTGTTATGTTGTGTCTCCATTTTCATTTATTTCAAAGTATTTTATAATTATCTTCTTTGGCTCACTGTTTGTTTAAAATTACACACAGCATCATGCTCTGTTGCGCCAACTGATTTCAAACTCCTGGGCTCAAGTGATCCTCCTGCCTCCGCCTCCCAGAGTGTTGAGATTATAGGCATGAGCCACCGTGCCCAGTCTCACTCACTGGTTTCTTATGAGTGTCTTAATTTCTTCATATTTATGAGTTTCCCAAATTTTTCTGCTTTTGATTTGGTTTTTGTTACCCATGCTGGAGTGCAGTGGCACAATCTTGGCTCACTGCAACCTCTGCCTCCTGAATAGCTGGGATTACAGGCATGTACCACCACGCCTGGCTAATTTTTGTATTTTTAGTATAGACGGGGTTTTACCATGTTGGCCAGGCTGGTCTCGAACTCCTGACCTCAAATGATTCGCCTGCCTTGGCCTCCCAAAGTGCTGGGATTACAGGTATGAGCCACTGAGTCCAGGCCTGAAAGGAATGAAATCATACAAAGTATGTTCTTTGACCACAGTGGGATGTAATTCCAAATCAATAACAAGGCTGGGCACAGTGGCTCTTGCCTGTAATCCCAGCACTTGGGAGACCTGAGACAGGCGGATCATATGAGGTCAGGAGTTTGAGACTCAGCCTGGCCACCATGATGAAACCCTATTTCTACTAAAAATATAAAAATTAGCTGGGCGTGGTGGTACATGCCTGTAATCCCAGCTACTCAGGGGGCTAAGGCAGGAGAATTGCTTGAACCTGGAGGGTAGAGTTTGCAGTGAGCTGAGATCATGCCACTGTACTCCAGCCTGGGCAACAGAGAGACTCTATCTCCAAAAAAAAAAGGACTCTTGCTTTATGGCCTGGCTGTGGTTGAGAAGAACCTGAATTCTGCTGCTGGGAGCTTCCCTCTTGTTCTCTCTCTGTCCCATGTCTGTCATGTGAAGGATGCTCAAGTGGGCCCAAGGAGGGGTTCCCATGGTGAGGAACAGGGCCTCCAGCCTCACTTGGGCCTTCAGATGACTGCCTGACAAATTCTCTTCAACCTCAGGAGTCAGAACCACCCAGTCCAACCACTCCCATGATGTTGACCCACAAACGCCGAGACAGCAAATATTTGTTGTTTTAAGCCCACTACGTTTTGCTGTAATTGGTCATGCACCATTAGATAACTAATACAATTACCCATACATCGGCTGGCTTTCGGGAGGACACGTCTTGAAACACAGCTGAACTTGAATCTTTTCTGGGGAAAAAAAAATTGAAAACATGAATTAATAATTCTTCTCTTGTTGAAGCTGACAGAACCAAGGAAGCACACCTTCTTAACGATGCTCTCAAGGCTGTGAGGAGAAAGACAACCAGTGGGAATTCAACGCATCAATTACCTTCTATAGTAACATGAGCTACTAGAGCCCCTAAGAGTCGATCTTCAGCTGCTGTCATGGAAAGTACTGGGGGTCAACTAGACATCAAAGATGAGAGGCCAGGCCTCCAGCACAACTTTTTGTTTAAGCTCATTTAGTGGCTTTCTCAAAGAAGCCCTTTTTTCAAAAAAATTTTTGTAAAGATGGGGTCTTGTTCTGTCACACAGGCTGGATTGCAGTGCATGGCTCACTGCAGCCTCAACCTCCTGGGCTCGGGTGATCCTCCCCTTTTCTGAGGAGCTCAGACCACAAGCATGCACCACTACGCCCAGCTGATTTATAAGCTGTTTTAAGAGACAAGGTTTCACCATGTTAGCCAGGCTGTTTTCTTCTTTTTTTTTTTTTTTTTTTTGAGATGGAGTTTCACTCCTGTTGCCCAGACTGGAGTACAGTGGTGCGATCTTGGCTCAACGCAGCCTCTGCCTCCCAGGTTCAAGCAATTCCTCTGCCTCGGCCTCCCAAGCAGCTGGGATTACAGGCATGTGCCACCATGCCCAGCTAATTTTGTATTTTTAGTAGAGATGGGGTTTCTCCATGGTGATGAGGCTGGTCTCCAACTCCTGACCTCAGGTCATCCACCTGCCTCAGCCTCCCAAAGTGCTGGGATTACAGGCGTGAGTCACTGTGCCTGGCCAACTTGGATTTGTTACTGTTTTACAGGGCATGGCCCTTAATATTCACATGAATGACAGTGAGACACACAATGCTTTCTAAAGATTGGTTTTGGCTGGGTGTGGTGGTGCATGCCTGTAATCCCAGCTACTTGGGAGGCTGAGGCAGGAGAATCGCTTGAACCCAGGAGGCGGAGTTTGCAGTGAGCTGAGATCGCTCCATTGCACTCCAGCCTGGGCAACAAGAGCAAAACTCCAACTCAAAAAAAAAAAAAAAAGACTGGTTTTACATTCTGTTGATGTGATAATTGGTGTGTGCACAAAAGCAAAGTCTCGTCAGTGGGTGCCTGGCCTGGGGCATCAGTTCTGAGCTGGCAGAGATGAGGATACCCACACCCCTGCCTCTGCCCCACACCCTGTCTGTACCTGGATCCTCCTGCTGGGCCGTGCTGGGGAGCCGCTCCTTTCGCCTCAAGGCCTCCAGGCCTGCCAGGTCGGGCTGGTGGCAGTGGCTGCGCATGACCATGACGCGGTGGCCCTGGGTGATGGCGCGGCTGCGGCAGCCCAGCCGAGCCTGGTCCCGGCACATCCAGTACACCTTCTCCCCGGCCGCCTTCTCCTTCCTATAGAGGAAGGACTCGTGCACCAGGAACCTGCCCCCCAGGGAAGTCCTCAGGAACTCCAGGGGTCGGAGGGGTTCTGAAAGGGAAAGTGACACTGTGAGTAGGGCCACAGGGGCCTGGGTGTCAGGGCTGGGGGTCTAATTTGTCCCCCAAGCCAGGCTCCACCAGGAATCTGCAATCCCCTAGCAGGCCCCATGGTGGACACTGCCCTCCTCCCCTCTGGGCCCTGAAGCCTGAAGCTCAGGCCCTCCAGCCCCGACTTCCACGCTGGCTGGCCCTTTCTAAGGGCTCTGGTGATGCCTGGGCAGGTGGCCTGGCAACCACTAGACCCCGAACACTCCCGAAGGACTCTCCCAAGCCCTCAGACCTCATGCTTGCAGGCGCATCTCCCAGGGCTGGGGAGAAGCCATTCTGGACCAGTCACCAGGGCCTCCTGGCTCCCTGTCCACCTACCCCTCAGCCAGCTGGCAGCCATCTGGCCTCTGACTTGTAACAAGCTGAACTGAAAGGTCACATGATGTTGTGACTGGAGAGAACCCCACGAGACTAGAAGCTGTGTGGGTGGCGTGGGGGGTAGACTAAGAGTGTCCGGGATCCACCGTATGGCCCGTCAGCAGATTCCAAGCAGTCTCTGCCAATGCTACCTGTGGCCGCCATCCCCTTTCTTGAGAGAGCTGAGTGGGTTCCTACCCCTGACAGCCAGTCCCTGTTGCCCTGAAGACCAGCTGCAGGAGCTCAGAGCCTGCAGATGGAGCCTCCTGCCCTTGGGGAGTTTATGGCCCAGGCTGCCAGACCCCCATGCGCAACACACACGGCAGCCCACGGGCAGCCTGCAGCCAGCATGTGGCGCACGGGTCCCGGGAGACTAGGGTCACCTGGCCCAGCGCCCTCTGCACGCACCTGGACTGTCCCACTGTGCCAGGTTGGGGAAGTGCTCCCGCTGCCGCAGGGCCTCCAGGCCACCCAGGTCGGGTGGGTGGCAGTGTCTGCGCATGACCATGACCCGCCGGCCCTGGGTGATGGCGCGGCTGCGGCAGCCCATGCGGGCCTGGTCCCGGCAGGTCCAATACACCTTCTCCCCGGCTGCCTTCTCCCGCCGGTAGAGGAAGGACTCGTACACCAAGAAGCTGCCCCCCAGGGGCGTCTTCAAGAACTCTGGGCCTCCTGTTGAGAAATGGTAAGGGAGGAGCAGAGGACACCAGCTCTCAGAGCCAAGATCAGCATGGCCCTGAGGTGAGACCTCCCGCGATGCCTACACCCCCTCCTCACAGTGAGGTGGCCCCGGAGCCCAGGACACAGATGCTACCATCCCTCCAACTCCACTGGGGCTCTAGCTGCTGGGGTCCCTCTCCTGAGGCTGGGGACTGGTGAGGTGAGGCCCCTGCAGGTGGAGGCCAAGCGTCCCACACTGTGATGCCTTCAGGGAGGCAGTGTCTGCTGCGTCACACGTCCGTCCCCAGCGTCCGCCCAGGCTCGCATGCAGGGTGCACTGTGCCTGATGAGTCAGAGGAATGACCCAGGGCCCTCAGGGGACAAAGCTGCTCGGGAGCTGGATGGGGCTGAGAGGGGTGGTCCCCGAGAGCTGGGCAGGTGGAGAGGTGACCCGAGGACTGTGAGGAAGAGGTAGGAGCAGCGTCCACTGTCCTGGATGTGGTGAGAGGGAGGACCCTGTGGGGTGGCAGTGCCTGGCCCAGAGAATACCCTTTCCTCTGTGCAGGCTCAGGGGCCACAGAGGTGGGGAGGCAGCCTGGGGCGTCGTGGGCACATCAGGTGGCAGTGGAAGCAGGGGATGGGGGTGGGTAGCAAGCCCTAGAGGAGAGGCCGGAGGGGGCGGTGTCTGGCTGTGGAACCACCTTCAAGAGGGATGGAGCGGGCTGGGCCGGGGCCATGTGGAGTGGGGAGGCTCGGGAGGCAGGAGGACCCTGCGGGGTATGGCAGCACAGAAGCCTGGGGACCGCAAGACAGAACAGGTCAGGAAGAAGGTGGGGACCCCAAACCACAGGAGGGGGTGGTGTGACCATGGGGCACGCTTCATCCCTTCCACATGGATGCAAACGCCAGCAAGGGGCTGGGCGCAGTGGCTCATGCCTGTAATCCCAGCACTTTGGGAGGCCGAGGTGGGTGGATCACCCGGTCAGGAGTTCGAGACCAGCCTGACCAACATGGTGAAACACCATCCCTACTAAAAAAATATAAAAAATTAGCTGGGTGTGGTGGCGTGCACCTGTAATCCCAGCTACTCAGAAGGCTGAGACAGGAAAATCACTTGAACCTGGGAGACGGAGGTTACAGTGAGCCAAGACTACACCACTATACTCCAGCCTGGGCAACAAGAGTGAAACTGTCTCAAAAAAAAGAAGACCGACCCCTCATCTGGGAGGACCAACATCTGATTAACAGGAGCAACAGAAAGGGACGATGATGGGGAAGTTAACAGAGAGCACGAGAGGATGACCCCACCATGAAGGCCACAAGCCCGAGGCCTAAAAAGGCCCCTAGTGCCCCCAGCACAGCCCAGTGCAGCTGGGAGGGAGCAGAGACCCTAAAACCTCAAGCAAATCCGATTGCACACACAGGATCAGTCACACAAAAGCCACAGTTCAAGGGCAGGCTCTGCACCCGTGACACCAGGGAGGCCAGGCTGCCCCTCGGCGGAGGGAGGCTACAGACATTTCACACCTGCAAGGCCTCAGCGTGCTACCTCCCGGGACCGGCTCAGGAAACAACCGGAGGCAGGAGGACTTCTCCAAACCACAACACCATGAAGAAAACCAAGAAAGAGAAAGGCAGGCCCAGAAGCAGAGAGTTGGCACAGTGAACCCCGAGGGACAGCTGGGCCCAGCCTCTGTTCCCAGATCAGGCTGCACTGGCACGAGGCTCCCTGGCAGCTCCAGCAACCTGGGGTTGTGGATGATCGGATCCAGGTGGGGTCGACCTGGACACACAAAACCAGGCAAACAAACGCAGCAGCTGCCGTTGCACAGAGAAGACAGAGCTGTGTTAGAAGATGGGACCACAGAGCAACCCCCCGTCAGCCGCGAGCAGGTTTCTAGGCTAAGGGAAAACCAAACGTGGCCGGGTGCAGTGGCTCACATCAGTAATCCCAGCGCTTTGGGAGGCCAAGGCAGGCGGATCACCTAAGGTCAGAGTTTGAGACCAGCCTGGCCAACATGGTGAAACCCTGTCTCTAATAAAAATACAAAAATAGCTGGGTGAGGTGGCTGGCGCCTATAATCCCAGCTACTCAGGAGGCTGAGGCAGGAGAATCGCTTGAACCTGGGAGGCAGAGGTTGCAGTGAGCCGAGATTGCACCACTGCACTCCAGCCTGGGTGACAGAGCGAGACTGCGTCACACACACAAAACACCTGTGCAAAAGTGCACTGAGTAGCTGACAAAGAAATGGAAACACTGATTAACAGTAGTGGAGGCACATTTTAGGGAATGGGACAGCCAAGACCCTAAGAAACAATTGCTTAGAGGCCAGGCGCGGGGGCTCACGCCTGTAATCCCAGCACTTTGGGAGGCTGAGGCGGGCGGATCACAAGGTCAGAAGATAGAGACCACCCTGGCTAACACGGTGAAACCCCGTCTCTATTAAAAATACAAAAAAAAAAAAAAATTAGCTGGGCTTGGTGGCGGGCTCCTGTAGTCCCAGCTATGCGGGAAGCTAAGGCTGGAGAATGGCTTGAACCCGGGAGGTGGAGCTTTCAGTGAGCCGAGATGGCGCCACTGCACTCCAGCCTGGGAGACTCTGCCTCAAAAAAATAAATAATAAAAAATAAAAATTGCTCAGAGCAGTTATTTGTGGGGCAGGAGCGGGGGTGAGGACGAGGAAGGGGCAGCTACATTACCTTGTAGCACCATCTCACTGGAGATGGAACAAAAAAAACCACAGCTCTCAAGTCTGAGAAAACTTTAGGGCCATTAGGCAACTCAGCTGACCCAAAGCTGCAGGATGGAGAAGAGCCACTGGAAAGAGAGGCCAGCGCCTCAGGGCCATGAAGAGCAGGTGAGTGGAGGAGGCCGCGCTGAAATGGCTCCTCAGCCAGACGGGATGGGGACATGTACGCCACTGTGGTCATGAAGTCAAAACACCAGGTGCTGCGGGGGGCCGACCGTGTGGATAAAGATGGAGACAGCCGTGACCCTCCTCAGGCCAGCGTTTCAGTACATTATGGGTGTCTATGGAACCACTGGCAGAGAGGAGAAACTGATTGCATGTAAATATCACCTCCTCAATCCTTTTTTTTTTTTTTGAGATAGAGTCTCGCTCTGTCGCCCAGGCTGGAGTGCAGTGGCCAGATCTCAGCTCACTGCAAGCTCCGCCTCCCGGGTTCACGCCATTCTCCTGCCTCAGCCTCCGGAGTAGCTGGGACTACAGGTGCCCACCACCTCACCGGGCTAGTTTTTTGTATTTTTTAGTAGAGACGGGGTTTCACCGTGTTAGCCAGGATGGTCTCAATCTCCTGACCTCGTGATCCGCCCGTCTCGGCCTCCCAAAGTGCTGGGATTACAGGCTTGAGCCACTGCGCCCGGCTATATCACCTCCTCAATCCTTAACGGCTCAGACCTTTAGACAGGCTCACACCATAGCAACGAGACTGACCATGTGCAGTCAACGCCCTCTATTAATCCTATGAACTCTTTTTTTTTTTTTTTTTTTTTGAGGCGGAGTCTTCACTCTGTCGCCCAGGCTGGAGTGCAGTGGCACCATCTCGGCTCACTGCAAGCTCCGCCTCCTGGGTTTACGCCATTCTCCTGCCTCAGCCTCCGGAGTAGCTGGGACTACAGGCGCCCGCCACCGCGCCCGGCTAGTTTTTTGTATTTTAGTAGAGACGGGGTTTCACCGTGTTAGCCAGGATGGTCTCGATCGACTGACCTCGTGATCCGCCCGCCTCGGCCTCCCAAAGTGCAGGGATTACAGGCGTGAGCCACCGCGCCCGGCCAATCCTATGAACTTTTTTTTTTTTTTTTTTTTTGAGACGGAGTCTCGCTGTGCCGCCCAGGCTGGAGTGCAGTGGCCGGATCTCAGCTCACTGCAAGCTCCGCCTCCCGGGTTTACGCCATTCTCCGGCCTCAGCCTCCCTAGTAGCTGGGACTACAGGCGCCCGCCACCTCGCCCGGCTAGTTTTTTGTATTTCTTAATAGAGACGGGGTTTCACCGTGTTAGCCAGGATGGTCTCGATCTCCTGACCTTGTGATCCGCCCGTCTCGGCCTCCCAAAGTGCTGGGATTACAGGCTTGAGCCACCGCGCCCGGCCTCCTATGAACTCTTGAGACAAATGGAGGAAGAGGAGGAGGAGGAGGGCAGGGAGGTCTATCCCTGCTGCTGCCGCTGTGGGGCAGGTCGGGCTGGACGGGTGAGGCCAGGCTGAGCAGGAAGGTAGCGCCCATTGAAAGCAGCACGGCGGGGAAGAGGAGGAGGAGGACAGGGCCATGGCTCCTTCTAGGACGTTCACAGAAGGGAAGAGGACGTTTGCCAGCGGGACGCGCAGGGTGGAGAGGGAAAGGCAGTGTGGGGCCTCCTGCCTGCTTTCTGCGGCCCAGCTCCCCGCCCAACCCCAGGTACCTGGGCTCCCCCGCTGCGCCATGTTGGGGCGTTTCTCCCGCTGCCTCAGGGCCTCCAGGCCCCCCAGGTCGGGTGGGTGGCAGTGGCCACGCATCACAGTCACCCGTCGGCCCTGGGTGATGGCGCGGCTGCGGCAACCCATGCGGGCCTGGTCTCGGCAGGTCCAATACACTTTCTCCCCGGCTGCCTTCTCCCGCCGGTAGAGGAAGGACTCGTACACGAGGAAGCTGCCCCCCAGGGGCGTCTTCAGGAACTCAGGGCCTCCTGGGGAGGTTCGGGAGGCAGTTAGGAGAGGAGGCAGGGGCTGGGCAGGCCTGATCCCACTCCCTTCCCTCCCTGGGCCTCTGATGGCTAAAGAGTCAAGGCAGGGCCAGCGAGCCCCAGAGGAAGGCGGCTCACCAGGGTCTGCATCCACATCCTGGTCCTCGTCCGGGGATCCTTCCGGGGCTTGCGGCTGGGTTGGCAGCTCCTGGTCTTCGACCTTCGCTCGCTTTCTGGGCCGCGGCGTGGTGAGAGTCAGGGGACCAGGACCCCTGTGGTACAGCAGACTATCCACACCTCGGAGCAGCGTGTCCACTTGGCTCCCAGGGCCGTCCTGCCCAGCCTGCAGTGTCTCCGTGGCCTTCTCCTGCTGCCGCCGGGCTTCCAGGCCCTCCACATCGGGAGGGTGGCAGTGGCCACGCATCACGGTCACCCGCTGTCCCTGGGTGATGGCCCGGCTCCGGCAGCTGTGCAGTGCGTGGTCCCGGCAGGTCCAATACACCTTGTCCGCGACAGCCTTCTCCCGCTTGTAGAGGAACGACTCATGTACCAGGAAGCTGCCCCCGTAGCACGTCCTCAGGAACTCGAGGGGCTGGGCCTGTCCTGGAGGAGGGACCCAAGTGGTCACAGCCACCAGGGGTGGGGAGAAGCCCAGGAGTGGCAGCCACTGCAGACTCTGGGGGCTGACATGGGCCTTTCTCCTTTAAGGCTGAAATTTACCCTGGCTTCCTGAGCCAGATATGCCAGAGCCCCCAAGCCCATTCCCATGGAACCCCTACACCAAGCAACCCGGAGGGGAGTCTCATTCCTCTCCTAGCAGCCAGTGAGGCCGCCCCAGCTCAGGCCTGTTAAATGTTGCATCAAGATCACACCTGGAGGGGCCAACCTGGACTCGGACTCAGTGGCCTCTGCTGTCTGTCACTCCTGCTCATGCTTTTTTTTTAGGGTTTGTTTACATAATCTACCCATTTTTGAATAAAACACACAAGTTATAATACAGTCAAATGGTTCCAAAAGATCACAGTGAAAAATAAGTCTCCCTGTTTCCTGCCCTTCCCTTCCCGCCCCAGGTGCCCAGGGTAGGGGCCACCTCAGATCCTTAAAGCTGTGTCAGGAGGCAGCTGGCCTCCTTGAACCCAAGCCCATCTCCTAGTTACTGGTAATAAAACAGCCAGAACTCCCATTTGCAACTTGCTAAGCCCCAAATGTGCAATTTACACAGCAATCTAGGTTATCACAGCCAGCTTAAGATAAAACTCCTGAAACTCCAGAAATGAGGTCAATTTTCTAAGGCTACAGAGCTACCATCAGGTGGGGCTGGAATTCGAACCTATGACCCAAAACCCAAGACTCTCCCACCAGACTTTTTTTTTTTTTTTGAGACAGAGTCTCGCCCCACCACCTAGGCTGGAGTACAATGGCGTGATCTTGGCTCACTGTAACCTCTGCCTCCCGGGTTCAAGCGATTCGTCTGCCTTGGCCTCCCGACTAACTGGGATTACAGGCGCCCGCCACCATGCCCAGTTAATTTCTTTTTTTCTTTTTTTTTTGAGATGGAGTCTCACTCTGTCCCCCAGGCTGGAGTGCAGTGGCACGATCTCGGCTCACTGCAAGCTCTGCCTCCCAGGTTCATGCCATTTTCCTGTCTCAGCCTCCTGAGTAGCTGGGACTACAGGTGCCCACCACCACGCCCGGCTGATTTTTTAGTTTTTTATTTTTTAGTAGGGACGGGGTTTCACCGTGTTACCCAGGATGGTCTCAATCTCCTGACCTCGTGATATGCCCACCTCAGCCTCCCAAAGTGCTGGGATTATAGGCGTGAGCCACTGCGCCCAGCCTCGCCCAGCTAATTTTTTGTATGTTTAGTAGAGACGGGGTTTCAATATGTTGGCCAGGCTGGTCTTGATCTCTTGACCTCATGATTCATCCGCCTCAGCCTCCCAAAGTGCTGGGATTACAGGCGTGAGCCACCGCACCCGGCCTAGGTGTTTTTCCTGAACTTAATGGACACCAGAATCGCCCGAGAACCAGATAAAATTCTGATTTGTTTTTGAGACAGGGTCTCACTCTCTTGTCCAGGCTGGAGGGCAGTGGTGTGATTCTGGCTCACTGCAGCCTCAATCTCCCTGGCTTAAGTGATCCTCCCACCTCAGTCTCACAAGTGGCTGGGACCACAGGCGCACCACGACAGCTGGCTGATTTTTTGTACATATGGGGTCTCACTGTATTGGCCAGGCTGGTCTTGAACTCCTGGGCTCAAGAGATCCTCCTGCCCCCAGCTTCCCAAAGTGCTAGGATTATAGGCATGACCACTGTGCCCAGCCCACATTTACATATATCTATTTTTTCTTTTTTTTTTCTGAGACAGAGTCTTGCTCTGTCGCCCAGTCTGGAGTGCAGTGGCACAATCTTGGCTCACTGCAACCTCTGCCTCCCAGGTCCAACCGATTCTCTTGCCTCAGCATCCCGAATAGCTGGGATTACAGGCATCTGCCACCACGCCTGGCTAATTTTTTATTTTTAGTAGAGGTGATCATGTTGGACCATGTTGGTCAGCCTGGTCTCGAATTCCTGACCTCAGGTGATCCACCTGCCTGGGCCTCCCAAAGTGCTGAGATTACAGGTGTGAGCCACTGCGCCCAGTCACATTTTTATATACATACATAATTTTTTTTTTTTTTTTTTTTTGAGGCGGAGTCTCGCTCTGTAGCCCGGGCTGGAGTGCAGTGGCCGGATCTCAGCTCACTGCAAGCTCCGCCTCCCAGGTTTACGCCATTCTCCTGCCTCAGCCTCCCGAGTAGCTGGGACTACAGGCGCCCGCCACCTCGCCCGGCTAGTTTTTTGTATTTTTTAGTAGAGACGGGGTTTCACGGTGTTCGCCAGGATGGTCTCGATCTCCTGACCTCGTGATCCACCCGTCTCGGCCTCCCAAAGTGCTAGGATTACAGGCTTGAGCCACCGCGCCCGGCCTTTTTTTTTTTTTTTTTAAGGATGAAGTCTCGCTCTGTCACCCAGGCTGGAATGCAGTGGAGCTATCTGGGCTCACCGCAACCTCTGCCTCCTGGGTTCAAGTAAGTCTCCTGCCTCAGCCTCCCGAGTAGCTGGGATTACAGGCATCCACCACCACACCCCACTAAGTTTTGTATTTTTAGTAGAGACGGGGTTTCACCATGTTGATCAGGCTGGTCTCGAACTCCTGACCTCATGATCTGTCCACCTTGGCCTCCCAAAGTTCTGGGATTACAGGCATGAGCCACTGCGCCCGGCCACATTTATATTTTTAAAAGTCATTTTAGCTTCAAGTACATTTTAAAAGACCCCGTGGGACCCCACATTTCTATTTGGGCTCAGGAAGGGCCCTTGGGTCCCCTGCCCCAAGTGGACATGGCAGGGGGGTGGACTGTACTCACCCAGCCCCAGGATCGAACGCTTCTTGGGCGGCAGGCTCAGCAGTGACAGGGCTCGGGGTCCCTCATCCTCCTCCGGGGCTGGCTTGCTCAGCACCAGCCCAGGAGTGGGCTCTGGCTCTGGCTCTGGCTCCTCAGGACACTGCCACGGGCCCACCCCCTCCAGTGGCTCCTCCACTGGGCCTCCAGGGCCCTCAGGATCCTGGGGCTCTCCCAAGCCCTCTGGCAGGGCCAGGCTGGGCAGCTTCTCTCTCTGGCGTCGGGCCTCCAGGCCTTGCTCATCGGGCACATGGCAGTGGCCCCGCATCACTGTGGCCCGCAGGCCTCGGGTGATGGCCCGGCCCCGGCAGCCCAGCTCAGCATGCTGGCGGCACTTCCAGTACACCTTGTCCCCCACAGCCTTCTCCTGCTTGTACAGGAAGGACTCCAGCACCAGGAGGCGGCCCCCGAATGGTGTCCTCAGGAACTCCAGGGACTGAGGGGATGCTGGGGGAAGGGGAGGGCGGGGTTAGCCAACCTAAAGCCAAGCTCCAGGTCGCAGGCACAGAGGAGAGCCAGGGAGGACGTGGGGGTTCTGAGTGTGGCGGGTGCCTTCTCCTGCTCCCAAGCAAGAAGCCCAGACTCTCAGGGCTGGTTTTTATTTTGGGGGTGGTAGTGGATGTTTTTAGGGAGCTGAAGGAATTCTGCACATCACTGCAACTCCCATGAGCTCCAGGAGGCCCTGGTACCTGACTGTGATCTTCACACCAGCCTGGGACAGGCTCAGGATCAGAGACCAGGAGGCTCAGCTGGGAGCAAGGACAAGACACTGTGCTAGAAGTGGGGTGTGCAGGGCCTGCTGTGAGCACTGGAACCCACAGGGTGGCTGGGCAGGGGCAGCAGGCCACACCTCACCTGTGTCCAGCTTGCTGCACTTCTGTTCAGGCATCTGCAGGGCTGGCTGGGCCACCCTTCCCTGCTCCTCGACTGGCAGGATCTCCAAGGTACTGGCGAGGGTGGCAGGGCCAGCCATCTCCAGGGAAAGGACGCAGTGCACTTCCTGGGGCTTGGAGCCCACCCCATCCTCATCTTGGTTGGAGGCTGTGAGCAGGACCAGTTTGGAGAACTTCCTGGGCTTCCTGGGGGCTGCTGGGACGACATCCGTGGCTGGCTCGGGGCATGGCTCCTGGCCAGCCTTCACACTCTCACCCTCCTGCTCGCTGGGCTCAGGCAGGGGCATCCCGGGACCCACGGCCTGTCCCTCAGGCCACACTCAGCCCCCAGCAGGTAGATTTCTCCTACTCCCAGGCAAGCAACCTGGAGTTCAGCGGTTCCGTCCTAAGGAAGGAAGCAAAATCCCGTCAGTGGAGGAAGCCCTTGGGGGGCTCTAGACACCACTCTGGGAGGGAGGTGGGCAGATGGGGCTGCCTCACTGCTCGCTGGAGCCAAGGCTGGCGGGGGCCCTGATGGAACTAGGCTTCTGTTCTGCCAGTTCCTCTCCTGGCAGCCTTGGATATGTCACCCCCATCTAACCCCATCTGGAAAATGTGCACAGTAAACACTCTCCACAAGGGGCCATCAGAGTGACTAATGGACTAAGAGCCCAGCCACTACCGAAGGGCCTCCCACGTTCTGAGCATAGAAGAAGGGTTTCCACCTGCATTTCCAGTACCCTCTCCAGCCCCTACATTATGACGGCAGGACATTCTTTTTTTTTTTTTTTTTTTTTTTTTTTTTTTTTTTTTTTGAGACGGAGTCTCTCTCTGTCGCCCAGGCTGGAGTGCAGTGGCTGGATCTCGGCTCACTGCAAGCTCCGCCTCCCGGGTTCACTCCATTCTCCTGCCTCAGCCTCCCAAGTAGCTGGGACTACAGGCGCCCGCCACCTTGCCCGGCTAAATTTTTTGTATTTTTAGTAGAGACGGGGTTTCACCGCGTTAGCCAGCATGGTCTCGATCTCCTGACCTCGTGATCTGCCCACCTCAACCTCCCAAAGTGCTGGGATTACAGGCTTGAGCCACCGCACCCGGCCCAGGACATTCTTACTGACCCAGTTATAGATGACGACAGTGAGGCACAGACAACTGTGGGAGGCGGAAAGCTGAGACCCGTTTCTGCTCAGATGCCCAAGGACTTGCTAGGACCTTTTTGGAAACCACGCGCTTCACCAGGACACCGGGCACCTGTCTCCGGAGCGTGGGCCTCGCACACAGAGCCCTTCCAGAGGACAGTGCTGCACCTTGGCCTGGGAGGCAGAAAGCCCTTTCTGGGCTCGGGCAGACCCAGTCCCTATCCTGTCCTGGAGGCCCCAGGCCACCCCTGCTTCGGGAGATACCAGGGCCCCAATGTGGCAGCCACCTTGTGCCCGAGCTGTTGCAGTTGCTGCCTCGGCTGGTCGGGGACGGGGCTGCGGTGGTGTCTGGAGAATCCCCAGGTCACCACGGGTTCCAGTCTGGAGAGGCAGAAAGGGCAGATAATGGGGAACCGGGCAGGGCTGGGGGGGGGTCCTGGGGGCAGTCAGTGGCAGTCACAGTGTGGGGTGGGGCTTTTTGTGTGGGGAAAAGAGGGATCAGATTGTTACTGTGTCTATGTAGAAAAGGAAGACATAAGAAACTCCATTTTGGCCGGGCGCGGTGGCTCACGCCTGTAATCCCAGCACTTTGGGAGGCCGAGGCGGGCGGATCACAAGGTCAGGAGATCGAGACCACGGTGAAACCCTGTCTCTACTAAAAATACAAAAAATTAGCCGGGCGCGGTTGTGGGTGCCTGTAGTCCCAGCTACTCGGGAGGCTGAGGCAGGAGAATGGCGTGAACCCGGGAGGCGGAGCTTGCAGTGAGCCGAGATCGCGCCACTGCACTCCAGCCTGGGCGACAGAGAGAGACTCCGTCTCACAAAAAAAAAAAAAGAAACTCCATTTTGATCTGTACTAAGAAAAATTGTTCTGCTTTTAGATGCCATTAATCTGTAACTTTAACCCCAACCCTGTGCTCACAGAAACATGTGGTGTACTGAATCAAGGTTTAAGGGATTTAGGGCTGTGCAGGATATGCCTTGTTAACAATATGTTTGCAGGCAGCGTGCCTGGTAAAAGTCATCACCATTCTCCATTCTTGATTAACCAGGGACACAATGCTTTGTGGAAAGCCGCAGGGACCTCTGCCCAAGAAAGCCTAGGTATTGTCCAAGGTTTCCCCGCACTGAGACAGCCTGAGATGTGGCCTCCTGGGAAAGGAAAGACCTTACATTCCCCCAGCCCAACACCTGTGAAGGGTCTGTGCTGAGGAGGAATAGTGAGAGGGAGACTTCTTTGCAGTTGAGATAAAAGGAACGTTTCTGTCTCCTGCTCATCCCTGGGAATGGAATATCTCGGCGTAAAGCCGACCATCCATTCTATTCTGATATAGGAGAAAATCGCCCAGTGGCTGGAAGCGAGATACACTGGCCGTAATACTGCTGTTACTCTTTGCTACACTGGGATGTTCGTGTAAAGCGAAACATAAATCTGGCCTACGTGCACATCCAGACACAGTACCTTTCCTTGAACTTATTCATGATACAGATTCCTTTGCTCACATGTTTCCCTGCTGACCTTCTCCCCACCATCATCCTGTTGCCCTGCCACACTCCCCTCGCCAAGATAGTAAAAATAGTGATCCATAAATACTGAGGGAACTCGGAGACCAGTGCCAGTGTGGGTCCTCGCACGTTGAGTGCCCATCTCCTGGGCCCATTGTTCTTTCTCTATACTTTGTCTCTGTGTCTTATTTCTTTTCTCAGTCTCTCATCTCCACCTGATGAGAAATACCCACAGGTGTGGAGGGGCAGGCCTCCTTCACCTGGCACCCAATGTGGGGCACGAACCCATGACCCTGAAATTAAGAGTCGCATACTCTACTGAGCTAGCTGGGCAATTCTTTTTTAGATGACCAATTTGGCCACAATTATAACATTTTCCCCTAAATGTTCTAACTTGTCCTCCTAAAGTGACTGCAGTCATTGCTTGAGCCATTAGCATAGCCTTATGCATGGCTCCTCCAGTCCTATTACAAGCCTTCACTTACTCTGTAATTACATCAACTCCTGCTGAGCACTGGAATCTAATCTCTCATATAAAGGGAGTTGGGTCCATATTGTTTAACTCCTTCCTTCATGTCTTTTAACATTTTCATGGTGAAAGGTTCATATCTAGCATTAGCCACCGCAGGTGCTCCTGCTGGAGCCCCTTCCCCGGCCAGTACCCATTGTAAAACTACCAGGAACTGCCATGCCTCAAGACCTCCGTTTTCTAACTTCATCAAAGACCGCATGCAGTGTGCTACCGTGTCCACTAGGTGGTGCTGGTGGATTAAGTCTCATAGTGGACGGCTGAGGATACAGTGCCGCGCCCTGTGGTGCTGATGGACAAACCACCACTGCCGTGGGTTGCTTGGATGATGCCGTGCTATTTGGCGTGGGACACACCGCTTGAGATCTGTATTGAACCTCTGGAGGCGGCCAAAACTGAGGCTCGGCTGGCTGCCAGTATTCATAAGCTAGCCACGGTTGGGTTTTATTTTCTACTGGCTGATACTGTGGATACCGTGTCTGGATTGGCTCTGCTGACACAGAGACTCTATCCTTTTCTACTTGATTTTCTCTTGGGGTTTGGACTTGTCTAACCCGCATTTGAGGTTGTAATGTTACAGGTATCTGAACCGCGGGAGGAAGAGTTGGCCATCGTGGTGTAGACTCTGATGGCCCCAGTGATTCTGGAGCTTTCCCCCCAATTTTGATGATTCAGGATATATTACCTCCTGTAATTGATTGTAGTCAACATGGCTTTATAGCCAATTGACATTCCGGATTTGTATCTTCATAGGCCATTAATTCTACAATGGCCTTTTGGGCGTTATCATCTGTAGTAGATTTTTGAGCAGTATCTTGCAATCTTGCCAGGGTAGGGCTCTTTAGAGCCTTGTCTAATTGAATTAAAAGACAGGCAGGTGGTTCCTGGTTCCATGAATTTTTTCCCAGGCCCTGAGGCAAATCACTCTTACTTGTTTAAGTCAACATTTTGCGTTCACGAGCCATTACACTCTGCTGCATATTTACAATGTGAACTTTCCATTCCTTTCTCGAATTCTGTCCCTGCCTCTTCTTCACAATCTATTACACAGCTTTCAGGCGCATCAGAAACTGAAATGCTGTCTTCTCCTGTTTGAAGCAGTTCTAAAGCTGCTTTAATAATGGCCCAATCATTCCATACTATAAGTGGGGTTATTTTACCTTTCCTATTTGCTTGTTTTAATTCTTTGCCAATTTTTTCCCAATCTTTTAGATCTAAATTTGTTCTGGAAACCATGGGCAGAATTGTTCTATTGTTTGAATGAGCATAATTAGATTTTCTGCAGAGGCTCTAACTGAACCCCTAAGTCACCATGGGTGCCTGGAGAGGCAGAACGGGCAGATAATGAGGAACCGGGCAGGGCTGGGGTGGGAGCCTGGGGGCAGTCAGGGGCAGTCATGGTGTGGGGTGGGCTCTTTGGGGCAACCGAGTGTGGGCAGATGGTGGGGTCTTTCCCACCTCAGCCTCGAATTGAGACTGCAGTCCCCTGACATTTTTAGCGTCCTCACCCCCACCTCACATGTTACAGTTCCAATTCCCACGGGTCTCCCACTTTGCTCCAAAGTTCCCCGGCCTGGGGCCCCACATTCCGCTCTGGAAGGCCTGGTCGGTTCCAGGGACAACATAGAGGAGAGTGGCTCCTTAACTCCATTAAGGCTCCGTCCCCAGGAAATCACAGGTACCAGGAGGGCCAATCCCTCGGGCGAACACTTCCCACTTCTGTTTACAGGGCTTCCAAGACCCATGTGCTTCAACACATCTGGAAAAAGTTCCAATACAAGAAAAGGCCCTGGCCATCGGCTTGTGGAAGGTTGAAGACCCCTTCCCACTCTTGCCCTTTTAAGCTCTTGGGTGGTAGATCCTGACCCAGCACCACTCCGCCCATTAAAGTCCACAGGCCCCTTGGCAACCGGGCTTTGTCTCCACCTGCCTGAACCTTGACTGGCCTGGGGCGGCTTGCCTGACCAACAGTGTGGCAGGAGCGCAGGGTCCACATTCCCACACTTCACGGGCCAGGGCCCTGAGTCTGCAGGGAAGGCAGCTGTAGGAGAGGCCACGTGCAGGGCACCACCACATTCGGGGAGACCACCTTGTACCCTCCAGCCCAGCAGTCTATTAACTGCCTGCAGACACGAAGGAACCGGGGGACCCCACAGAACCTGATCACCGGGGAACTCCTATTATTTTAAGCCAGTAAGATCATGCGTCGTATGCTACACAACAATAGCGGATACG